GCCCAAGATCTGCATCCAGAAGAATCAATGCTGCCGACTCTAGAGACAGCTCGGCTCTATCTGTATCCCCTCCAGCTATCTTTTTCCCAAGAGAAGCAGTAGAGCGGTTGTGAACGTAGGAGGATCTCTCCATCATTAATCCTGATGAATGGGTGAGTGAATGTAAATGATATGCAGTGGCAGTGAAATTTGTTGATTAAAAATGGGCATTGCATTGTCAGTGTAAATTATAAGTTGACAGCTTGACAGTGTAAATTATTAATTATTGAGTGACAGCTTGACAGTGTAAATTTGGGATTGAAAACTTGGCAGTGCAAGTGTAGAATTGTTAGCACTGTAAACTTGATAGTTGTGTAAACAAACCTGATAGTTGTTCTGGTGTAACTTGCACAGCCTTAGCAGTCTCAGAATGGAGCTTATACAAAGGTCCAATCCTCCTGTGCTGTGTCCTCTTGGAGAAATTAAGGAGATTGATCCTTATCTTCTTTCTGACGGAGGTTTTTTCCTCTTCTTCCTCTTCTTCTTCTTCACTGATCTGAACAAACAATACAGATGATTCGTCTACCAAATAGGCAACATCTGTCCAGGGTGGAGATGAGAACACAGCACTCTCGTGGTAGAGCTTTTGTCTGCGGATACCCTCATGGAGTCTTTGTAGTTTCTTCTCTACAGAGAGGTGGACTGATGTCAGGAATGTGTACCCTATCCTACTGTGGATGGTTTCTCTAAAGGATGCTTTATCGCTTAAGAAAACCTTAAATGACAGTGTATTCTGTGAATTCATAGCTTGAAGTGATACAATGATTGGGTGAGACAGTAATTTGAGTGATAAATTGATCGAATAATTGAGTGATAAATTGATTGAATAATTGATTGATAAATTGATTGATTGATCATCATGCTGAATTGAAGTTTAGTGTAAACATTTAAAGGCTATATTTACAGTGTTATATGTTGCTACGTCCAGTAGCTGTATGCTCACGGTGAAATGAATTGCTGGCCCCTAATTCTGCATCTACATAGAGAACTCAGCTGGTTTGCCAGAGAACTCTACTCCAAAAATTCAGGGTGTTTCAGTGAGTATTTGCACTGTGGAACATTATTAACCACCTACCACTGTTGGAATGGCCTCCGTGTCGGTTGGGAGGGCGGAGGCCATCCCATTGAATTGATTGCGTGATACAATGTGTTCATGAAATATTTATAATATCAAAAAAAATAAAAACTAGTGTTTGACATTTTTACTTTATTGACCTTTCCTTTCGGTCTGCGGCCTCTAAAAGTGTCTTAAAATTAGTCTTAGACCATGCTTAACCCTTATGAACATTAATGTCTCCTAATTAAAGACTATGACATAGTTTAGAACCATTCTGGTTGAGTGCCGCCAAAAACGCGCGAAAATCAAAAACGCGCCAAAATCAAAAATTGGATTTTTGAGGTCAACCTTTCACCTAATCACTTTGAAAACCCTTTTAAACGTTTTTTGGGTCGAATTACCCCTAGTAGACCTGCTTTAGGTTATATCATACCCCTAAATCATGCCTATGTCTACCTAGCATGGGCGCCTGGACCACTGTGATCTAGAGTTAGCTTCGTTCAATAATAAAAATATCAATATAATCAATATCAATATCAATATCAGATAAAACTACCGAATAAATTATTATATTAATTAATTCGTTCCGATATAAAATTTTATTAATTTAGATATTTAGTATTTAAAAACATTACAACAAATGGTTAAAAGCGCCCAAAATCGATTTGAAAGATTTTCTGTATATACAATATATATATATAATATAGTACAATCATGATAGTAATAGTAAGTGTGTGTCGCTGCAATTAGATTTGATTTACACTGTGACTAAGTGTCACGGCTCACGGTATTGTGTTACCAAGGGACAAGTAAAACAGAGTTCTCTGGTATGGGTAAAGATTAACGGGTGATACTCGTAAAATATCTGTTCCATCTCGGCGCGCGTCCTGGTAGGTTGTAAACCTACAAGGGTAAAGAACGCATTAATAAATGTTAATAATGTTGATAATGTTACTCAACGATGTTCATGTTTGCTCATCTTGTCAGACGAGGAGGATGAATTATTCCTTATTTAGAATATTTTGTGTCACGCGATATATCGATACGCGCTTTCTGTTCGCAGAAAAAAATGTATTTTTAAAATAAATAAAACCTGTATTAAACTTTTTGTGGAACAGAGAATGTGCATGGAATTAGTTTTTGAAATTGCGCGCCATTCATGATTTGTGATTCACTTTGTACATTGATTGACGATGCCTAACCTTTCAAATTGAAATAGTTTGTAGTTGCTCTCGAAGCGAACCAAGGATGATAGTTTGCGCGGCGCGTTCGCGTTACAGTGACGACAGCTTCCTGATAACTTTGCACATTTTCCCAAAAAGAATTTGGTCATTGCATAAAACTATAAATAAAAACAATGAACAATGAACCTGATATGAACAGTAAGCTAAATTAATCAATGTCACAAAATATACCGTTTGGCATTATTAGGTAGTGCGCCATCGACAGTGAGCCGCGCGTGCCGACTGTAGGATGGTTTTTTAGTGCTTATTTCGGCCAGCACACTTTTCTTCAAATAAATAGATATTGAGTATCCCTCCCGACCTCCGATTGCAACAAAAATTGGTAAGCTTACTCATAGACTTACAAGGAAAGTGTCCGACAATTTAAAGCATATCCAACCGCATCAGAAATCATGTTACAGCTAAAAACAGCGTATTTTGCCCCATTTTGATCACTATATCAACTCCGATATCCACCAAATTTTTCGGACAGTTGTGAAAGCCCTATTGGAAGGTCGTCGCCAATTTTCAGAATGATCTCATAATTCAAGGAATTGAACTGCGACATGCGAAGATATATCCAATAATACCACAAAAATCAACGAATTTGGTCAAATTAGGCGACTTTTACAGCTACTTTTGCTTCAAAAGCCGCGCACCATCAAATATGGCACCACCATCTTTCCAAAAAGGTATAACAAATTTGGTATAGTGAATCACAGTCTCTAAATACATTACTGGGCCGCGCTCAGCCTGTCATTCCGCCAAATCTTTATTCGGTTTATGAACATAATAGCCTGGGGTCCCCAGGTAATAAAAACAATGGTACAAAAAAAATTTAACATCCGAGCAAGTTTATTTTTATTGTGCACCCTTTAGAATTATATTGCTGATAAAATTGCAGCTGATAATAAAAAATAAAACTAAAAACTATGAACTATTTAATTTTAAAAACTATAAAACTAAAAAACTAAAAATCTAAAAACTATAAAGCTATAATAAAAACTGTAGTACGTAACTGACAACAAATTGTTGCTCTGCAAAGCAGAGTGACGATCTGCGAAGCAAAAACAAAAAATGACGGTTAATTCATGCGCAGCGCACGTCTAAGCAGCGACTTAACGGGTGATACTTGTAAATATTTGTTCCGTCGACGAGTCCAACTTTTGTATCACATCGTGACCCTTACGGTCGTTTCACTATTGTGAAACCTGTAGAGTTTAAACAATACAGGGGGAGCCGCGCACAACGTATGACAATCCAACTCGGCGCGCGTCTTGGTAGGTTGTAAACCTACAAAACAGCGACGCATTGAACGTCCTGGTTTTCAATATATTCTAACTCTAAGTTATTGCAGCAAAAATATGTTATATTTTTATTCGATTACAAATGCAGCGATTAAATTTCGACCGTTAATTCTGTGTACATTTGTAAATGCTGTTTTCGATTTTAATGGTAAGTACTATATTTAAAGTTAATTGACGATGTCAATTCATCGCAGCTCGGTGAGGCACAGTTAATCACTTAAGTAGCGCATCGCGCTACAAATTCAAAGTTAAGCCTATACTAAGGTGCACAAATTTATACTTCATACTTCAAATCTTTATTTTATAAAAAATGTAACGTAACGTGGCGCCTGCGTTTGATAAAAATGGTTATTTCCTCATATCATAACTCGTTAAGAAATGATTTTCATGCTACGTAATACTAATAGTAATAGGTTTTATTCGAAATCTGCGTAAAAATACATTGGTATAACTATAGCTTACTTTCACAATCCCACAGCTTACTCATAATCATATAATGTATAACAAAAACGTATAAGCATGTACACAGAACTGAGAACGGTCGAAATCTAATCGCGACTGATAATTTTAATTGTAAATGGATGAAACTTATAGTTATATTTTCATTGTTACAAGAATGCAACTGACATGATCCCACAAAATCGCTCGCCCAATTTAAAAAACTTACGTTAGCTCCAAATAAAGTTCAGCTATTTAAATAATTCGACTGCCAACGCAAACCGTATAAACCGAATTCACGTGATGCGATTGCCGTTGTGTGTTTATTGGCGAACGAAATAATATAATAAAAGCCTTTTAAGCTACTACTATCAACTATACTTACGAAGCCGATTGATTAGACAAGTTTATTTTCTAATTCTGGTGTCGACTTAGTGCATAGCAAAATCAAGAAGCAGTAATAGTATTACGGTTAAATGAAAACGTAATTTTTATTGACAGCACATATTTCTAATAGTAATACCTAATACTGCTTCTTAACGAGTCTGGACACTGGAGTCGACACCAGAAAACAGAAAAGAAACTCGTTAATTAATCAGGTATCACTATCAGTTTGCAGTTATTATTATCAGATGCAACCTCAGAAATATTCGTTGTTTAAAACAACTTACAGAACCAATAATGAATTAGGGTTAGTCACTTGCTTTCTGGACATATTTATAGTTATACACATTCAATGAGAGTTAGATACTATAACGTGGTGATAATTGATCAGAAAAGGATGCCTATGAAATTAAAAACTAAACAAGATATAAGTAGTAGTAAATTATTCATTATCAATTCAGTAAAGTAGCAGGTGTCCTAGCTCACCCTGATTCATGTTTCCAGAAACCTATGTGCTGTGAAAGTGAAACTGGAAAATTGTAGCTGATCAGATAAGATACAATTTAGAAAGTGCTAGTTCTACAAATAAAACAAAGTTCTTACTTCGAGCTTAATCTGCTCGAATATAATTATCAGTAAGATAAGTTAAATAAATCTTTATCAAACTAAATAAATCCTTTTTAAATAAAACACCATACAAACAAGCTTAAGCTTTAAGTGAGGATGTTCAACCACTAAAATTTTGTCATCAACTTCAGTAAAATTCTACACAATCTGTCATTTTAATCCGGCCACTTCACTAATACTAAAACTAACCTTCAGTAACTAGTGAGACTGCAACGTTCTGGAAGTCTGACTAACTAAAAATTCAAGAAGAAGATAACATTTAATATGATTGACTAGGATAATATTCATGCAGATGTGGTGATATTACAGTCAGAAAATCTACTAAAAAATACGTTTGGGAAACTTCTGATCAGGAAATATTTTGAGCAAATGAATTTTGAACATGCGTTAAATGAGTAGCAAACTTTTTTTGACTTGACTGTTGGCTGTAATTCTCATCAGTAAAGTCAATAATCTTAAAGTTCTGGATACACACAACACTCTTTACTTCTTTAGGTAACTAAATCTACAAAAAAACACGACTGTCCAAATCTTCAAAAATCTTCAAAAAAAAAGGATACATGAAAATAGGAAAATCACAACCAGGCAAAATCTGATTAGTCTGAGGTTTCTAAAGTAGGAAAAGACTGTAAGCACCTCCTAAAGGATGGTCTTTAATAATAATAGCATTTAGGGATGGAGTAGTCAGTAGGGGTTCTGGGAGAAGCTCTCATGAAATAATGTGGAAAATAAGGGGGATACTCAGGATTCTACAGAGCAATTGATGAGGTCTAACTCCTCATTTCGCCCTAATTAACCTAAAATATTGTACAATGTGGATCCAGTTTTTTTATAAATAAGCTCAAAATTTGCCTTATCAAAGCTACAAATAAGTCGTATTTACAAATCTATGAAGTGTTACTTACACAAATACTATTTTCTCATCGTATAAAACCATCATAACTCTTCATCATAAAGAATTTTCATTACGCACGGATTTTGAATTCGATTACAGTTTGCAATCCACTGATTCAAGAATCCGTCTGCTTTGTACAAAAACAATTTATTTGAAATAAAATTACCGAATGTAACCAGATTATTTATTTCAATCTAAACGGTCTAACTCAACGAGTATAAGTGTTCACTAGACCTACTTGTCCTTTGGCACGGACAGTTTTTTCGATCGATCTGCCATTTCGCACTAAGTCCGGGCATGATCAAAATCCTGAAGTTTCCGGAACAAGAATTCCGGTGAGAATGTGTTCAGAGACAGTAGTGATGATGCTGTATTTCCGGACACTTCTCGCACTGCACGTAACAGCAGAACTTGAATGTGCAGTTGCAGTCTACTATCGTTTCAAACGTCTCTGTTCTGTACCCGCGACCACAGCACAGGAATTCGCAATTTTCCCACCTGAAAAATAAATAATGAACATTTTGAACTATTTCGATAGTTAAATAAAACTAATCCTAGTGCCGCTTGTGTGGTTCCTTTTCTTAAAATCATCGAAATCTAATATACATTTTATAACACAGTGTCCTGCCTTTTCGTTATGACTGCAGGGGGCCATAAGTCACTGTACAAACGTTTGGGCTTGTTGTATTTAAGATCAAGGATCAACCGAAGATCGATATAAAAATAATGATTTCGTGAAGGGGTAATCTCCAAATCACATTATAAATATACAGCACATTATCCATTGCCATTATATGTAGATTTGACCCCTCGTATGGACTCGTGACTCAGACAGGGACATTCAAGGGGATCATAATAATCTGGTAGATTTTGGACATGATCTCCGACCGAAATTTAATTTCAATGGATACACTCCCATTAAAAGGCCCCTAGGATTTCGTCTAAATATAGGAAATTTATAAGTATTTTCATTATGCCAAATCCAAGTATAACTAATCTATCGATTATTTGAAATTAGTTGTCTTTAGTATTTTAAAAAAATTCAATTATGTTAGCCTAGTTCGAGTTAAGAACCTTCTAAGCTGGAAAATAAGCTTCTTTTCAACCAGAATTAAATTTAAACGGTGGCCAGAGACATCTTAAAGAAGAAACCGAGCGGCGATTAATGGAAATGTCGAAATCCCAGAAATTGGTACTGGATCGCTTGAATCTTATGAGCGACTATTTCAGTATCTTGGGTAACCTGATTTAATGAGGCATCACTCTAAGAATCATTAGAAGAAAAAATGAAATGCTTACAAGTGACCCATTACCACACATGTCATTCTCACCGGATGTGTGCTAATCAGCAGAAAACGATTGGTCGAAAGTTTAGTCAAAACTCAAAAACTGGGATGGTTAAAATCTCCCTAGGTTGTCACTCCTGTCAACTTTGAATCAGCTGTTCTAATTAGCATTCTCCGACATGAGACACGCCTAAACTGCTTGATTTATGGGGATATGAAACCAGTTCAGTTTTAATGTTTCGATCAAACAACGTTAGCCACCAATGAGTAATGAGTACACATCCAGGTTATCACCAGGATTTTATTCGTGGGAAGAATTTTAATAATTTGTGCACCAAGGCCCTAAATCGATGAAATTTCGAGACATGATAGTATATCATGTCTTCTGGATAAGTAGAAATAGGTCTGGCGCCTTTGAAGCAGCACAAAGCGCCAAAAGCTCCCAGTATTTTCCCTTTAAAGTGAGGACGGTACTAGGATCCGCCCTGGTAAACATGGTGGGTTTTAAATTTACTAATACTATTTTTGCATCTTGATCATGGCTGATATCATGGCTGATATATAACAGTCTTATGGCCAGGGAGTCGGTAGCCTTTTACGTTAAAATGACAGTAAACTAGTCCCACAGCACGCACACCAATTGCTGAACTGTTCCAAGAAATAGCCCAAAAAATTAGGAAGTACCAAGTAAAATAACCGATATTCTGGCACACTTCCATACTCGATTTATACACTGGGGAAAAGAGAGAGGGTTCAGGGTGGGCACTTCAAAGTGGGTCCCACCCAATACACAGTGCGGTATTTAATGTTTCCTACTAAGGGTGAAGTTAAAGGGAACTGACAGTGAACAAAGGCTGATCTCACGTGTTGTGGAGTACGGGGTAGACTTAACCAGATAACTATTCCAGACAGATAGACTCAACCCAACCACCTGGCAGCTGGAACCTCCCAGAAAAGAAAAATAGCCGGCTTCCTCTCAATTTAGTCTACTATTGGACATCTAAATTGAAAATTTACGACGAATAATTCTGGCAACAAATAATTAAAATCGTGTGTGTTTCCACACCACTTGGTAATGTCGTGAACCTCACCTTAAAACATTGGGAAGATTTAGAAAGGGAGGTCCCAAATTATTGCGCTGGTTTCGACACATTGTTTTATAAATCATGACGTGAATAAAGGCAGTCTGTTTAAAAAATAAAAATGGGAAACTGTTAACTTACTTGTCCCCGGAGAGCGTGCAACGTCTGCCCCGTGTGCCGAGGGAGCCTCTGGTGGGGTCTGGATCACAGTAACTCGGTGATTCCTGAAATAAAACACTCCTTAACACCATGTTAACTCTAATCACTGGTATTACAGTACTTGCGGTCATGTCACGTGACCGCTCACATGGCCATATACAACTTACTAAATTTACCAACTTTGATCTGCAAAGTCTCCACACTCGTAGTTTTCATGGAAAGAAACCCAACTCAGGCAGGGGATTTTACAGCAAGGGAAGTCCTTGGATTACGCCGTGAATGGCTATTGTAAGTAGGTAGGCAGGAGGGTTTCAACTCTCCGCGTAGTAGTAAACTCATTAAACCATGGAACTATTTATCCTCATGTATAATGTCAAGTGTTCTCTGATCGTGTCACGTGTTCTATGATCAGCGGCCGCGCCCCTATTTAGCACATGTTTAGCCAACTTAGCGCCAGTTGTACGTACGCATGATGTTGTCACCTACTTATCAACCCGCAAGGGTTAAATATGGCATCTATCTAGAATACTTTTATCACAAATCTCAATTAAGGGCGTCAGATTGATCCCTTAGCACTATTTTCTAGAGAATTTAGTGCTAAGCACAGCCAGGCTGCGTTCAGCTCCCAACCAACACTGTCTTACGCCGTTTAAGACTCAGTTTTTAAACTTAATTATTTCTAAGCTGGTCTACGTGAATCAGTTATTGATAGACCAAGGCTTTTAAATACACGTGAAGCGGGAAAAGCTCTTATAATAGCACAAAATGATCCCCTCCCCTAAATTCAAGGTTTAAAATCTAAAACTTGGCATCCTCTGTCCTTTAATAGAAGGTAGTTCCTCATGAAGTCATACAGAATCTGAAAATCTTTTTGTAGTTTCAGGTGTCCAAAACTAAAGGAATTTGTTATGCCACTTTGATCCCTCAAAGTGCTTTTCCTTTGAACTACCTTAGTAACTTTTCAATAGTGCTTCAGGTTGACTTCATGCAAGACTAAACTTTATGATTTTTGTTCAACACTTACATTCGCTGACCCTCATCCGTTAGTTTTGGAAGGTAATAATTTTAATCTCAAAAATCGAGTTACATGATTGGCATCGATCCAGAATTTGGAAAATCTGATCAGCGATGGAAATTCAAATTCTCATAAAACAGGAATAAAGAATGGAATGCAAGCCTGGGCTAGATTATTACCTTCAAATAATAAAGTTGAGTGACTTCCTGGTCCCTGTTAATTCCTCCTTTCTGTCGGTGATTCACCAGTCTCTTGGAAGGCTGGTCAGCTTCTACCAGCTTGAACAGACCCGATCTTTTCCTAAACTCAACTGCTAGGAGCGCCATGTCGTACTTCATCGCCAACTTCCTCGCAACCTGTCGGTCAGACCACTATTAAACTAGCTAGTAAAGCTGCTGTTAGCTCACATTAAGGCAATGATTCAAAAAACTGAGCGGAATCTCAAAGGGCATTTTTAACAGCCTGAATAGTCCGAATACCAGCATGGGTGTGATATTGGGATTTTCGAACTTAAAAATGATAGAAATAGAGTATAACTATAAGCGGCACGGTGAGCGTATTTGTAAAGCCTGTGAGGAGATGGAATCGGAGGGACCACTTTACCTTGTCAAAAGTAGGGAAAGCGTGCCAACACGTCTGAACGGAGCAGGAAGCAGATTGACCGTGACAGCGGCATGTTTTGCTAGCTAGCTCGTACGTAGTCTGAATGGAGGGGAATGATGAGAATGGACAAATTAAGTGAATTTTAAAGTGGTGCCATTTAAAGTGGTGCCATTCAAAGTGGTGCCATTTAAAATGGATGGAAGAAAGAAATTAGGGATGATTAATTGTACGACTCGAATGTGGATAGAGCCGAAGAAAAAGTTATGCAAAGTCACCTCTCTGCCGACTTCATTGTTGTGGAGGTTGAGGGCGGAGAGCGGAGTGTAGCTGTTTTCTCGGGCATCCAGCATCCTCTTTGCAAACGTGGCACTTAGCTGAACAGGGAATCGTGTGTTACGCGGGGTTAAACGGAAATCATCACCTACTACCTCATCAAGTCATCACGTGGTAAAATGTATAAACGAGATAATTGTGACAATTTTTGCCAAATCGGAAATTAATTTGAAATGGCTTGCAATTACAGGGACGTTAGGTTGTTCATAGAAAACTGTGAAACTTGGGAGCGGGAAACGACAGAACCGGGAATGTTAAGCAAACCCGAACCGAACGTCTGCGAAGCCATTACATTTTATGTTTGTTGAACTTTATTGATACTGATAGGAAACAGTGCGGGATGACAAATATCATGATTAAAGTTGGATAATTTGCAGTGATCAAAATCTGACTCTGGACACATGTAGATTCGGCTAAAAATGCTACAATGCTAAAAATGGCCAAAAATACTGATCACTGATGGTAAAGGTGGTGGTCTTACTGAAAATATTAGTGATTTGTCGAACGAATAAAACCTTGAACAAGTTCGGCAAAGTTTCGGTTGCTTCGGTAACATTTTTGCTGAAACCTAACCAAATCGAATTGTTCAAAACCAGCCAAAACCTGAACACATCTTGAGTTCACTCGTCTTCCAACTCTTAATAATCATTTTTCAAATCACTGCTTTCTAACTTATCGTCAGGATTGAACACCAGAGTTAAAGATACACACTCCGGGTATCAATATTAAATCTTTAAAAATCTAATTTCAGCGATCAACACTTAATCTAACACTTGCTCACTCCGGAAAATAAACCCAAAGACTAAAACTAGTTCACTCTGGAGTCTGGATAACAAAACCTCGCAAACTCGGATCGCAGCCACCAGAAACTGAAAAGCGACTGAAAGAAAAAAAAACTGCAACTTTTGAACTCACCACAATATTGTCGCTACAGAGGCCCCACTGGTAGGCGTTGTTAGGGCCTATGTTCCGGACACCGACCGGACACATACCACAGGCTGTGAGGTTACCATTGTAACACGACTTAGCCACAACGTCCACAACGCCAGCACTCGCTATAGCATGGATAACTGCTCTCTCCTTGGTTCCTGAAAATATAATATTAAACTAAAAGTTACATATCGTGTGACTTTAGTGGTTTGGATAAATCAGCAGGTGAGGATTTTTTGTTCATCTCTAACTGAAGCGACAAAAATTGTTACCCTCGAAATTTTATCCTCTGCTGTATTGAATTAGGGTCAAGGGACAAAGGGGCAAAGAGCCATGGTTATGGTCTCGGTGCGTGTTGCTGTTAGAAATTGTGTCAGGATCAGTTATAGGAATAGAGTTAAGGTTATAGGTGAGGGTAGGTTTAATTGAGGTTGGGCCAAACGTCGTACGATTAAAGTTCGGGAGGAAAAATGGCGTACACCCTCGAAATGGTGATGGTCATAGGCGATTTAATTCAAATCTCGATCAAGTTCGACAAATTGATGTAACCATAGCTTTACAATAAATATGCGCATATTCTGAAGAAGAAATCTGGACCTTCAAAAGGGTTCGAGGTTTAAATAATTTTAAATCGCTCAAATGTTTTACTCGACAGTGTAACCATCGAGTGTAACCATTGAATATCTATATTTATCAAATTTTGGTGTTACAGTTTGAAGAAAGTTCTAGCAACAAAGTATTTTAGGTAACATTGTCTGGCTATTTCATAATCTGGATGAGTGGCTGCTGCTTTGAGTTCAAGCATAATGTTTCTATCGGGGTAGCAAATAGAAGTAAAACAGTCACCGAGAACTGAACACAAACATAAAAAGGAAATGCAGTAAACAGCATGAGGGGAAAGATGGGGGTTCTGGAAACCATGGATCTGGTACAATAAAGATTTTGTTCCGAAGCTCACGAAATTCATGTGATTATCGTCGTCAGCTTTAACACAATTTTGATAGCTAAAAATCCATAGAGTTCACGGGATCAAGCGATTGGTCTCCAACCTGGCAATTGGGGCTTCCTTTTCTTCCCAAAAACGACGTTTACTTCAAACGAGCTGCAATTCCACCGTCGGCTACGAAATTGCTGCTGACACTCCGAGATAGCTTTTTTGATACCCTAAAAGCAAATCATGATAACAGCGTATGTAAGGATTCAGGGTCACTTTGAAAGAACGATCTAGACTAGTCTCGATCTTGATCAGAGTTTAATTAATTTAATGCCCGGGTCTGACAAAGATTCGGGGAGAGTGAGCAAGCTGTGTAAAATATCGGACTAGTGATATTAGGGGAATACGAGTGGAGACTAACCTGCACAATCACGGGGATAAGAGCGGGGGATTCGGCGCAAACAGCTTTTTGCTTCTGAGTCAGTCCGTTAACCCTCTGACAAGCTTCCGTCGACAGCCCCTGACTCCTTGTAATCTCTCCAACTGGACTGAAATCAATTCTATATTTTACTCGGGGGTTCGCGTTCAAAATATACGGCAAAACTGATATAAGATGTTCAAAGAGTAAATGAATAAAGTATGGACAAACGTGCAGTGATTTTCTCAGTGAAAAAGGAAGATGGGCATTGATCAAAGTATAAAGATCAAACGATCCGCGAACATTTAGTTTCTGAATTTCCCTTCTTCTGGATTCGAGATTAACAATGTCAGAAAGGAAATCAACAGAAAATTACAGTAATTTTCCAACAATCCAGCGCCAGACCCTTTGAACCGTTCAGGTATCAATCTTTACATAAGATTATTCCCTCTAACCCAATCAACAGTTGTTAAAACTTCACACTCACATCGCCTCATCAAAGAAGGGCTACGAAAGTTCGGGATCTAATGACGGTCTAGGAGCTCCAATATAAGTTGTAGGGTAAAAACGCTAACCTTCTAGGGGTGGGTTGGTGAGTGGTGTAGGTGGGCCACAGCGGCGTTATCATGGGGGAGAGCGTTTCTGGGGCAATCGTCCTCGACGGCAGAAACGAGTTAACGAGGGAGATTTTCGTGGAGAAGAGCAGAGAGCAAGCAAGCATAACGACGTTTGACAAAGGCATATGACAATTTGTACGGGGAAACAAGTTAAAGATAAGTGGTTGGTAAGGAAGATTTTTGGACGCGCAAGATATTGTTCAGGTCCTCATAGATAAAAAACTATATGAGTGGTGGTGGCATGCAGTGCAATTATCTTGCCCCTATATTATTATTGCATTAAGTGGCTTAATAGGTCTAGTCTAATATATCCTGTATGGCACAATATCTCAGATCGATTATCTAAACCCGCGTGACCTGTCACGTGGGGTACATTCCTGCCTTTGAGAGCTTACTGCGTTATCCCAGCAGGGATGCCGTTTGCAGGTGACAAGACGCAGCTGTGAGAAATGATTAACAAAATCCTCGCTTCCTAGCCCAAATTACTGCACAATTTTAAGTACGGTAAGTACAAACATGTAATTGTTGTACGCCAAACTACGAAACTACGGAAATCCTAGGCAACGGTGTTTCGAAAAATCGGGTTAGTTCAGGGAGAAGATGGGGGGACTGCGTGACTCATGTGGAAATAGCCTTTGTAGCACGTGACGTGACATCAGCGATTCATCAGGGCTTCTCTTGATGACAAAAAGCAAGTATTGATGAGATAATGCGTTGCCGGCCCGGTAACACACCCCGATTTCGTCAGTAATTTTCCAACCCAATCACGTGATGAACCCATTAGTCAGAATCCATCTTCATGCAATCATAACACGGACTTAATTTATGCAAAAACAAATAACGGGTGCGTTGTTAGCATTAGATTAAAGCGGCTCAGCCCATCAAAGATTTAGTCATACTTCAATGAACGTCTAAAGCTTCCTGAAGCTCGAGACATTAACAAATTGGAAGTAAAGTCATGAACCTGTTCATTTACGCGGTCGGTACCTCCCAAAAGATCACAACCATGACGTACGGAGCTAAAATTAAAATTGACGAAGCATGCACGATGGTGATGCTGAAGGGAATTTCTGGGTTTTATCCGTTCGACTTCAAAGTCTTTCACATCCTCAAAGATGTTCAGATGATCTTCAAGTATATGCGCCGCACTTCAACAAAGAATACTTAATAAAACTTTTGTTACAGAAATAGCCGCGGGCGAAACACACCGGGCTAGAATGCGACCTGGGGGAATTGTACAAACACTCAGCTGCTTCGGCATGATTTCGACGGTAGGAGGAAATTAGACGCATTATCGTCAGCTCGATAGACGGAACTGTTAAAACCGACCTCATTTAGGATTAAGGAAGACTACAAGGTGAATCGATAGAAATTTTATTCATCTTTCCGGAATTTAATATGTGATTTGTGAATTAAATGATTTCCACAAAGAATTTAACTTTGTGCATACCGAGGGGCACAATCCATAGCAGTTTAGTGATACATTGAAATGGATTCATCAGGGATTGTTGCAAAGTACTGGGCTAAAAGTACCATAGCACAGGTTGGTACACTAATTGAAATACTGAATGAAAGGTGCATTAATCCCCTCTACGCATGGCCGCTCACCGGATACCATTGTTACCTACAAGCAGTTTCACCACTTATTTCGCCGGAGTGGAATGGGAATGCCACTCTGTAGGCTCATCTTGCCGTTTGAAATCATTGCGAATAGAAATTCATGTATGGTTTAATGTCTTGTATGTGAAATAAGGAAAATAATTAACCCATCTAAAATGGGGCGGCTAAAAATTATTCTGGGAAATATATATTCGAAGAGATACCTTACTAGGGCTATTTCCTGACAGAGGCCTTACTTGACAACGACTCTTGAAACTGCAAACGAATATTTTCCCACATTCGCAACCTTGTCAAAGGTTTTAGCAGAAATAACGACGGAGTCCCTGAACTGTTGCACATGTAAGCTTTTGAGATTCAACTATCAACAACTATTGCATTTCAGGGCTCTCTCACTCTATTTAAAAAACATTTACCGCGACAAATGTTCACGTACTAACCATTCGAATAATACATTATCGTACCTTAGGTTAGAGAAATGAAGGCTGAGTGGATAAAAACATAACCACTTTTGACTCACCGATTAAGGAAAAATGATTGGTTAAAAGAACACTGAACAATTAAAATTATGAAATTTATGGCCATTAGCTGACAAATTGTAATCGTTAAAACTATATTGCCAATATGGTTTCATCAACTCTTACTCTCAATATATGCATTAAATCCCTGCAATTGAGCGAGTGCGGAGTGATAGGGTGACAGGTTTAGGGACAATATAAAATGTCGAGAAAAATTGGCATTATAAAAAGTAAAACCACCATTTGTGGGATTCGGGATACGATAAATGAATGATATCAAGGGTCTGTGGATTTAATTTCATCATCCCGTTGAATTCTGCAAGATATTGTAACTTTAAAAGTGTGTACCGCCACAAAAAGTCAAAATCACGAAATATTGTATATTTTACAAGCAGTTTCTTTTTAGGGCTCCAGCAAAATTTTGTACGAAGAAATTTGTCCATTCTTTAACACAAATTTATTGCGATTTCGATTGACTAACTACGTCATCCTTGTAATTTTACGAATCAGGTTCTTAAAAAATGAACATATGACTAATTCACCTAACAACATCAATGAACGAGTCACATATTCACAAAAAAGTTTTCCGGCTGAAATGGTCCGGAATTTAGTCCAGTCGTAAACATAAATTAATGTCGAATTCAATTGAAGACGTCATCTTGTCATCTCACACTCTTAATAAAAAGGAGAATATGACTAATTTACCTACCAACATTGCAGTGAATGAGTCATATATTCATAATTAAAGTTTTCCGGCTGAAAGTGGGCCCGGTCTTATGTTTTTGTCCAGTCTTAAATCTAAATTAATGTTGAATTTAATCATCCTTGTCGTCTCACCTTTTATTAATGATTATATCAATAATCTACCTACCAACATGAACATCAGTGAATGAGTCATATATTCGTAAACAACTTTCCGGCTGAAAGTGGTCCTGGCCTTAAGATTTTCCGGTAAATCAATTTGGATTCGATTTAAAATTCCGATGACGAATGACCAGGTCTTAATCGGATTAAGTTAATCCAGAAATTTTTTTCTCACGTACATTCTTCTGTTCTTTGGCAGAAATCCAGTCCAATAAGGGTAACTTTCGAACTCAGAATTTAAATATCCCAAATATTCACGGCCCAAAAAATATTCAGCCTTTTCCTTCGGCCCTAGGGAGAAAAAATCATACGAACAAAATATCGGTGGCCACTAATACTATTTTCTAATTTTGGGCGAGCCTTTTTTCCCTTCAGCGTGTTAAATTTACAATCGCCAAAATTGCTTATGAATCGTGAAAACTTGATACGCCATGTTCCTACCGTAATGACTTTTGGAAGCCTTTGACAGCTCGCGGTAACTTGCGAATGATCAAGGCTCCCGAACATCCCGAAAAAACACCCCTTCATCACGTGACAAAACTTTAATTTTAAGTATGCAACCGTAATTGTTAAGTGTGAAGGCTCATCTCTCATGGGACTTATCGCACGATAAGAAATATGCCCCTCTACGAATTTCATAAAATCAATCCAAATTTGACCATCTGCATTCATAATCTGAGCAGAATATTGGAGTCTAGTCTCATAAAGAAAATTGCCGAAAGTGCTTGCCAAATAACCCCCATAGATCGCTATTAAGATTAAATTTCAGCCTCAATCGTAAATAGTAAATCAAGTTCTTCATTTTAAATGAATCGATTTTTACTTTTTTGGCGGTGCGATCAAACTGTTTCCCAAAATAACCAACGGAACACATCAAGGACACTTCATATGCAATGATAATAAGCTTCAAGACAATTAGCTGTTGGTCTTCAGGGGGAATTTACTGTGTTGCATCTCGGTTTCTAGAATATACGTTCAAGATATCAAATTTTGAAGGGCAATTCTGAAGCGAGACCGGAACAGAAACCGATACTATGTCTCCTGGTTAATCCGATTCTGATCATGGTTTAGGTATATCTTAAATTAATTACATAACCACAAGTTTTAACCAATAAACGCTATCAGCTTCGAATTTCTATTCCTATCAGAGTGACCTTAGAGTGATTGAGTGATCTTCAACTAAAAACCATTTTATATCATGTAGTTGCAGGGTTGTTACAGTGTTAGTTACAGTGTTCCTTACATCAAAATAGACGGAAGAATAAGAATTGGATATACGAAAATCGCTAAATCCGAAAATCTTGCGACAGCGTACTAAAACGCTCGCTAAGTTAAAGAATTATTTGCACTTTTGTGTAATGTTTTCAGCAGCATAGGATGATATCAGCTCAATCTTACGTTTTAAGTATCAAGCATGCTGATCAATGTAATTATCCCAATTTCAATATTGATCAGAATTATGACAGATTTCATGCAAATAATTTTCTGAAAGGCTAAGCTTGATTAAACTTTCATGTTGGAGACAAATTGTTCGCATGATACAGCCACTGCTTCATGAACCATCGGCCATACAAGATGGAAATGGGCTCATTATGCATGCTTGTACTTGAAGATCTTCTGTTGTCTTCCTCTGTTTCAAACTCACTCGGGGGTCCTGGTCATCAAACAGTCCTGATGTAGAATAAAATGATGAAGTGTTAACTGTTACCACCGTCGAGATTGTTCAACTCCGCACCCGTTTCAAATAATTTCTCGTACCAAATACAAATGAGCTTGTTTGGAACTTTATTTTCCGAAAACCATTAATCCCTTACAAATTAATAGACCAACTTTCCATTTTTCCTATTTTTCCATTGAACCATTCAATCATTTTTGCACTCGAGATATAATAATGATAATGACATTATGCAAAGATTGCGGCACTATGGAAAATCATCGACCTGTCTGTTCGCAATTAAACCGGACTTGAGAAGAGCACCATTTGCTTTGTTAACCTAAAGCACCCGACTTTACTTTGATTATCTCCAATCGATTAGATCGTAATAATCGAGAACATTAAAATAGACACATCATCCCGGAAAACCAGACTAAAACCCATTTTGGCCCCCGAAAGAGACAGAATAGGAGAGCGTGGATCGCGGCGGTTCAAGACGGAGAACGGCGCTGGTCCCTCTAAGGGCGTGACTCTACAGTGTCCCAAAGTAATCGTCGTCAAGCAGTGCAATTACGGGGCGGGGAATGCAACCCACTTAGTGTCTCATTAGACCCAAACTTATCAATATGCAGCACATATTTGATATTATTCCACCTGCTTCCTGGTCAATATAGAATATATGGCAATGGAACAAAGGGATACCAAATTGTGGCCAAAAGATATAACGGGGAAAAAAAGCTGGATTTTGTTGTTAGATATGTTCGAAGAGAAAAACTGCGAGGGCCAGAAGGCTCAATGTCGAATTGTAATAATGAAAACAAACAGCCCATAAATAAAAACGGATGTCAAAAGAATTGAACACCATACGCTCTTTATAACTCGTGCAAAAAACAATCATCTGCGAGATAATAACACTCATTTTTGGGACAAAACTAAGATAACATTGAGCAGAGGGTAGTGGGAGGACCAAAACCAGAGTTATCTTACCGTCTTCCAAAAAGATCCATGGTATCATCATATTCGGTGGGAGTCACATTTGAGCCAGCTGGCCCACTGATCTCTTCATCATCACTGCAAGGCATGGTGTTTTCAAATGTCCAATCTAACATTGGAAATGCGCTGTCGACTTTTACCGAGTATCGAGCATCGTGTTACAGATTATTTTAGCTTCACCTAGACTAGGGTAAAGCACATAATTTTGTCATTTTTTGGCAATTTTCCGACTGCCTGATATAAACCATGGGTTTTAACCTCGTCTGAAATTCCGATTTAGATGAAACCTCCACCATGTTATAGTAGACAGTCTAGGCAAGTTCTAACACAAAAATGATCGAAATTGCTGGGGTTGAAGATGTTCAAAAAAATTATTTTGAAAAAATGACAAAATTAGGTGACTTTACTTAATTTTGTCATCCCGAACCTAATTTTGTCACTTGAAGATTGTGCAAAAAATAGCCGTTTCTCGGTATTTTAGACTACCTGGATGCATCATTCGAGCGCTTTTTTACCAACATTGACCTCAAAAATCCCAAAGATAT